AAAGGTCTTCTGTTATCAGACACCATCAGTGCAAATTCTGATACAATCATTTTTACATTTGCAGGTTCAGGTATGTCAAGCATGAGGTCATCATGAAGTATGCGAACATTATTTTACCATGAAAAAATGTGGTCTCCGATGTCTCATTGACATGGCAAAGGAAATAGGAGTGATGCCCGGAGGACTGGAGTAACTTCAAAATGCTCAGTTTTCCAAGTATTAAATGAAGTTTTGGAAAAACTCAGCAAAATTAACCTTCACCTGGCAGACATGTCCTTGATTTGAAGTCCAGGGCTGTGGAAAACAGAAACAAACTCGCAATGTGATGGGCTCACCCACCGTCTTTCCTTTTGTTTGGGGCTGACTGGGTGTAGAGGGTCGGATTTCCCCCCCAGTGTTCTCTTTCAGCAGCTCCACAGAGAGCTTTGTGATTCTGACAAAGGCTACAATTATATCCACTTCGAAATGCATTTACAAATATTCTCTGCGCTGGTCCAACTGGCGTGAAACACAGACAGCCCTCTGGGTGCCCGGCTTCTCCTCCTTTCACCCTTCAACGTTTCAAATGACTACAGGCAGAATTACCAGAAACAGTAGTAAATTCCTGGCACTGGAAGTTCCCATGATCCCAGCTGGCATGCAAAAAAAAAAAAAGGCTGTTTCTTTTTCCCCCTGAAAATAATGTACTTCCCAGGCACTGTCCAAATGCTTCAAATGAGGCAAATGAGAGATTTGTTTTGACCAACCAATGAAAAGACTTCCCCCTTCTCAGATAGGGCCCTGAGATTTAGTTCTAATAAACACAAAGTGTTTGTGTCTAAAGAAACTTAATTCATTTCCCTAAAATGATTTTAACATTTTTCAGCAAGGGAAGCTCCGATTTCACTTGATGGTATTTTCAGAGTAGCCTGGTGGAAGACACTTCATATGAGTTTTTATTTCCCTGCTAAAACTATAACACTCGAGTATATTTTTGTTCAAACTAGCTTTAAAATGGTTGCTTAGGCATGACCACAAAGTCTAGACCATAGGATGGACTCTGGGTCCCAAGATGGTTAAACTTCACAGAGATCTAGCTCTGGGTCTACAGAATACAGTACCCTTTCTTATCTTTTCCTCAGGAGAATTATTTATATTTTTTATTGTATTTTATTTCCTGTGTGTGGTTGGCTGTCTCATGGTCTCTGGTATAAGGGATTCAAAGAACATGGTCATGTCTTGTAAGTCAGACGGGGATAAGCAAAAAGCCTCTTTTTGGTCATTACTTGCACATAAGTAACCCAATTCCGTAGAGCAAAAGCCTTAATGATTTTCGGATTGGTGCCCTAGAAGAGGTACAGGTGGATGATGGCTGAGTTTTAGCTTAAATGGGGACACCTTTACCTTCTGGACGTCACATGTTTCTCAGCATAACTTACGGGATCTGTGCCCCCGTGTCTCAATGTCCGGCCGACTTAAATTCGAGGTGGTCTTCATTGAATATTTATTTGCACGTTGCTCTGAAGAAGCTGAAAATTCTGCTTGATAGCATATTTCGATCTTTACTTTTCCCATGAAGCATTCCCATCCACCCACTCCTATACCTCTTCCCACATAACAAACGTCTAAAATTAGTTTCATGCTATGTATCTATTTGATAGGCACAAAAGGCTCACAGCTGCATGATTAGTAAGTGATATTTTGGTCATGAATATATATATATATTTGTAATGCTAGGGAAGAGACAGAATTTTTTTTTTTTTTTTAAAAATCAATACTCCAGTGGTAATGAGAGAAGTCACTGAGGTTTTTCAACTGGAATCAACATGAATATGTCGCTATCTGCCAAGGCAAAATTTTTTACTTTAGTCCATTAGGAGAGGCATTTTTTTATTAAAGTAATTCTCAAATGTTAATAGATCTTAGAAATTAGAAAAAGATGAGCACCAGCATATGATTTGGATTAATTTTTTCCAGATTTTTATTCTGGATTTAAAGTAACATAGACTCTTTCAGTGTGGATAGTGATCTGGAAATTAACAAGAATTAACACTGAAAAGCCAATGATGAGATGCGTTCCATAACTTTGTTATGGAGAATCGATTCAAGAATTTAGGCGATTTTACTTGAACAATTATCCTCTTACTGCTTTGCAATAATTATTGTGAGAGCAGTGGGAACTGGATGCTTTAAAAGGTATGTCAGACAGTAATTAGGCAGATACGTTGCAATTTAGGTTGAAATTGGAAGGTCAACTTAATCAAAGCCTTAAGTGTTACCGTAGTGTCTGGTATGACAGCGGTAGAGAAGGAATTCATATACACACTTGAGGATCTCCTCGGTTGGAGTTTTCTGATTTCTGTGATGGTCTTGGGAGAGGTCACTCTGGATGTGCTTGTCAATATTTTATAGCCTTGGACTTCCTAATCAAGGCTTTTAGTCGAGTGTGCATATTAGCAACTTGTAGCAAATAATTAAGAACGTTTCCAAAGTCTGCGCTGGTCTTTTAGCAAAGGAGTAGAGGGAGACCTGTATTCCAGTTGGGGGTTTGTTGTTATTTCTAAGATACTCTTAAGGGGTTGTCTTTTATAACTTCACCAAGTTTTCCAATTGGTGCAGCACAGAGACAAGTACAAACACAGGGTTATTTATAGGAAATTACAGGAAAGCTGAAATAAGGCACATTAAATCAGCAGGAACTTTGGCTTGACATATTTAGACATTTGGACATTTCCAACTTTTGATTACTTGGGACAGTCAAATTTTTTTCCCAAAGAGGGGTAATAAAAAATCAATATCAGAGACAGAAAACTCAAGAAAAAAAAAAGAAATAGAAAGCTCATGCAGATATACTTAAAATTAGCTGTACCAAACATCAACTTCTATGCACATTTTGAAAGCAGGATGATGGCGCACGATCTGTAGACGTGTGAAATAACCGAAAGAAAACTCCTCCAAGCCTCTGAGATACTGAAGTTCTGTGACACCAAGTCCCCAACTGAAGCAGAAACCATTGCAGCAGCTACTTCAGGGCAAAGTAAAAACACAAGACAGCCTTATCTCTCGCTCTGAGAAAGTAGATCCCTAAGTTCCAGAGATAACCAATCTTCTGGTTTCTCAATACATTTGTAAAACTGAGAGATGGAGAAATAGATAAAGATGATGTTGGGTTGTGGTTGAACTAGTGACTTTTATAGTCCCTTCTAATTCAAAGAGTTTCTGATGTCAAGTCTTATTATTAATAAAAAACCTATCTATAATGAAGATTAAGTGACAAGAGAAAGAGAAACATTTCTTTTTTCCTCCTGATATATTTTATTCATTAGATAATTCAGTAGTTTTCCCAATCTCACCCCAGAGGACATTTGGCAATGTCTGGAGACATCTTTCGTTTTCACAGCTGGGGCGTGTGTGTGTATGTGAGCTACTGGCATGTAGTCAACAGAAGCCCGTAAGCTGCCAAACGCCCTACAATACAAGGGACCACTCCCACCAGCCCATCCCCCATCAAGAATTTGGGGGCCCAAAATGTCAACAGTGCTGAGGCTGAGAAAACCTGAGACAGTCTAATGAATGACAAACAACCACACACACCTAAAGTGCAAATGTTTCTTTCATCTACTGGTGCTTCTGGAAGACCTTGAAACGATGATGCTGATAATTCACAAAGCCACACAGAAATATTAGAGTAAGATAGTGAACTGTTATAACACCTGATCAGGAAGGATTTAAATGACCTACAAAGTCCTCCAGGGTCTGGGACAATTTTGGATGAGTAACTGTTCCTCTTATTAATGAAATTAACACATCCTTTGAAACACAGCAAACAGCAGACCTGGGCAGTGATGTATCATATTTCAGAAACGTTCCTCAGGCCAATACTTGAGAGTTCCCTATCTAAGTAGAATAGAAATTGGAACTGGAGATTGGATAGAGTAATAGTGATCCTATCAATTTGCAGAGTTGTGTTTGAGGATTTTACCATATTACAATTATCAGTGGACATGCCTGATCTCTTATTGTTTGTATTTATCACTGTATATCACAAGATCTAGCACAGGAACTTGGTTCTGGTAGGTGCTCAACAAACATTTAAGTGAATTGGCTGGCTGAATGAATGAACAGATAAAGAAATGAATCAAAGTGCTCTAAAATGTAAAGTGCTCTACAAACACAAGGAAGTAGGAGTATCTAATACATCATGCCACAGACCTCATAATATTTGCTCAAAAAAGCTTCTTAGGTTCAAATGAATTATGATAATGTAGTAAGAAAACCTGCTATGAAGATTATTAGTTTTCAGGTACATCTGGGAAGAAATGAAACAAAGGCAGTACAATTTTATATGGCACAAGGTAGTATTGCTAACTTAGGTGGTGGCCACAGGTAGGAGTGAAAGAAAGGGACATGCAAAACCAAATAAAGACTCTGAAATAGCCAGAACTTGAAATTACTGGCTGTTATAAAATGGTACCATTCCTAAGACACACACATGATGGAGGAGTATTGGTCCAATGTTCTCTATCAAAGACAGAACAGAGAGTCAGTATAGCAAATAAAATTTGCTTTTAGGTAGAGCGTGCCATCTACGCTGCTTGGTTGGCCTTAAATGCTGATGAAGGGGTGTAGGCAAAGGGAACTGGAACAAAAACAACCAGTCAGGAGTTTTAAGTTCAAGACCCAGTTCTGACGCTGGGAAAACTACTATATCTCTCTGGGCCTCAATTTTTCTGATCTGTAAATGAAGAGGTCGGATTAGATGACCTCCAGTGATTCTGGCATATAGATGTTGATGTTAAAAGCTGGAGGCTGGGAAAGTGAAAACAAGAGCAATCTTTGGGAATTAATAAAACACATCATAATAAAATATCTAAAAAATGCTGGAAGAAATACAAAGCAAAATAACATTTCATAGGAGGAAGAAGCCTTAACCATAGCATCTATTTTTCAGTTAGTCTTACTTAAATATTAATTTCTTATCATAGAAGTGTCTTCAACCAAGGCATGGGTTCCAGCAAAACTTTTTTTTTTGCCCTGGGCTATAGACACTAAGGGCATTACCAAATTTATACTCCCTCAGAATGAGGAAATAACATAAGAATCTTTTGCCAAAACTAATAAATCATACTAATCTAAGAATATATATTATCTACATATCAGCAACATTTAAATTTATTTTATTCCTTTCATATAGTGTGCATTTGCAAATTTTTACATTTAAAATTAAGTTCCACATATTTTTATATTTTAATGTGACAGCCCCTTACATTTGTGTTATAGGGATAAACCACATATTTGAAATTATTTGTTTGAGGTACTTTTTTCTAGAGAAGCCTGCTGGTCAGCTCCTGAGCTTCCCTTTGTTGTGAAGAGAAAACTGGGAAATCAGAAGAAACTAGAGAGGCTCAGTGGCTCTGTACAATAGAGAGCTGAGCCAGAGGAAGGGTGCACACAGGGACTTTGTTGTGGGAGAGGAGGGATAGTTGAGGCTGATGTCATGCAGAGGAAATATTAAGAGAAAATATTAATATGGGAAAAAAAGAATTTAAGCAGTTCTGTGTGGTTTGAGTGGATTCTCCTTTGGCATTTTCTCAAGAACTGTACTGATGTGACTGTCTTTGAATGCTTTTAGGATTGATGGACTTTTTTCCCTTGGAATACAAATCTGTGCTGGTACTGGACCAACAGATGTGCTTTACATGGGTTCTGTTGACATAAAGTTTTAAAAGTCTATACATTTAGTCAATCTACATAATAATAATCTTGCAAGGAAGACAGGACAAAAATATTTTTATTTTCCAAACTTGCAAATTGAGACTCATGGCGGTTAAAGTGATTTTCCCAAGATAACATAGTGGAGACTCAAAGCTGCGTCAGCTGGGATTCTTTTCATTACTCTACGCTTCCTCTCTGCGAGCAAAAACGCTTAGATAGGCCCAGGAACTATCAAATCTATTTCTTCTCCTCCTCCTTTTCTTCAAGGGGAGGGTGTTAAAAGGAAAGACCTCTACAGCAGTGTTAGCAGAATTTTCTGCAATGACAGGAGAGTTCTGTGTTGTCCAACATGGTAGCCACGAACCACACGTAACTACTGGGTGCGTGAAATAGGGCTAGTGTGACTGAAGAACTGAATTTTTAGTTTTATTGAATTTTAATTAATTTAAAGCGCTACACTTGGCTAATGGGTATAATATTGGACAGCACATTCTAGAAGCTCCCTGTGAGAGAGATGAGCAACTGCCCTAAGTATCTCAAACTAAAATAATAATGGGGGATAAACTGTACTTTATTATTTATCTTTAGTTTTCTAGTTGTTAGTATATCTTGAAGTCCAAACCTGTCATAAACAAACCAACACTGTGGTCAAGTGTTGGCTTAAGATATTTTTCTTGACTCTTAGTATCTTTACCTATTCACTAAATGTTTTTACAAATAATTAAGATGAAATAACTGACTTCCTCTGTAGCACCATTTATCTATTTCTCCAGAACGTTGTATGTGTTCCTTTGCTATTCATAATTTGTAAAATTATTTTTATTCTCTCTCTACTATGTTCATAATATATTAAGTAATGTACAGATGCACCCTTTCTAATACATAATATATGTAAAGTCCAAAGCATCAGAGTCCATTCTGACTTTCCAGAAACTTTGTGTATGTCTGCTCTTCCTTTGCAGTAAATGGGCACAAAGAACAAACCAGAGATATAGAGCAGAATGAAAGTTTCATGAAAAAAAGGGATTCAGCCAGCCTTTCTCCTTACCACTAAAAGATTCATAAACAACAGAAACCTCTTACAACCTTTAACTTTGGGTTTGGTTGGGAAGTTTTTCCACACTTCAGCAGCCCTTTTTACTTCTGAAAAGTTTTCCCTGTTACTGGGTGCTCTAGTTCATTGAACAATTTAGAGTTTATGTTATTTTACAGAATTGTCGATGTTTTTGAATCGAAAATGGAAGACGAGCTTAGAAAGAAATAAAGATAACATTACTACTTCAAAGAATTGCAAAAGGAGTTGGATATATATATATATATATATATGCATGACTTATATAACTGTCAATCATCTCCTATTGGAAGCCACACCTAACACAAAAGCCAGTGAAAGAAGCATCATCTTATCCTAGAAGGAATCGTCTATGTGTTCCTTATGTCTTTGTAGAGTACCCGTTGCACCAGTTACATTGGCAAGTCATTTGGTTATTGCTAACTGACCAAACCTACTCCACAAGAAATAAGTTGGGTTATTTCCTATAAACTGAACGTAGCTATAGCAGAGAGATTGTCATCACATCCTTCAATCACCTTGCTTGTCAATTTTTTTGCAATTATTATCTAAGCAGTTTAGGAAAAAATTATCACCCTCATCAGGTACTTAAAAATGTAAAGCAAAATATACTTGATGGAAAATGGCATGAGTTTACATCAGACAATTGTGATGATAAAATATGATACTCTGTCAGTGGACTGATGTCATTCGATGTAGACATGTGTATAGATGCTAAGTTGGTAGTAAAGTGCTGCTTACGAGACATCTCTGCTTCTTGATACCTGAATCTGCAAATGTTGGACACGGTACCCTACAGAAACCAATAGCTTCTTGGCACAAGACGTAAGTTTCATGGGTCGAGATGTTGATGAAATTGTACACACAGTACCTGAATTTAAACTTTAGGAGCTCAGTATATATATTAACCACTTTCCTCCTCCAGGGATGAATTTCCTGTCTTCATTCATGGGGAGGTTTCAAAATCTGGACTGTGATTATGGGCAAATGACAGATCCATCTAAGGAGCTTTTTGCATCTGCTTTATTTCACCAGGGAGGGAAGGGGTTGATATAAATGGGAGAGCAGATCAAATAGGCAGGAAAATGATGGGCACTGCAACTAATTGAACCACTTCTGCTAAGTGACATAAAAATATTCTAATATTAAGGATTATTTTACAACTCTATGGAAGTATGCAGTAATGCATCTCGCATTTGTTTTGTCTTGATGACAAAATGCACTCTGAGTCACAAGAGCCTGCCTTGTGTTAGTTATAAACAAAAATATATTTATATATATATTTACGTAACTACTATGTGCTTTAAAGAAAATTGCTGTATGACTCAGCAGGGTTCTTTCCTTCTTTATATCGCCAGGGATGTGCTGCCTTGAATGGCTTCTTAGATTGGAATCGACAATGAAATGGGCCTTTTGGACTGAAACGGCAAAAAGTAAAAAGCGGAAACAAAAACCCCACGTGTTTAGAATCCCTTAACATTTTTTGCCTCAAAAACGATTAAGGAACTCTTCGTATTGTTTCCTTTTGTTTCCTTCAGCCAAGAGCAACTGTGGCTTCGTAGGACTTCACAGTGGGCGGTGGAGGCAATACTTCTTAAAACAAATCAGATGTTTAACTCTGAGGCAGGGGAACCAGAAGCCTCCTTTGCCTCTCCCTCCTTTCTCACACTTAGCTAAAAGGCTGCGATTCTGTCACTGCTCATAGAGTGGGCAACCAGAACAAGGAAGACGGAGGCGGAGGCGGAACCTCCAGGACAGGTAAAAGATTCATCCTGTAAAGTGATGAACTTGTTGGAACAGGTGGGTCTAGACCAGAAAAACAAAACCCTTTAGCCACATGTCTGGTGAAAAGACAGAAAAACCTCTTATTTTGTGTTTGTTTTTGCTCCTGCATCAGCTCCTTTTCTCAGCAAACTGAAATATTCATCATTGCTCTTTTGAGTGAATGGGTTCAGGCTGTGGAACACAGTTATCGGAGAAGAATATTTGAACCAAGGTGTAGATCCCTCGTGAACTAAAGCTTTATTATGTTTTGTCTTGATCCCTTTGCAACCCTGTACCTTAAGCCAACAGCATTGTAATCTTGTCATATTTCTGATCAAGTCCACAGATGTGCTGAGTGAACTACAGAAGTCATTCCACTAGGGAATTCTATGTTCAGTGGTAATTGGTATCCTCTATAAGTTTTAGGTTTTTTTTTTTAACCCTTCCTGGGCTGGGCTTGTCCAGAAATCTCATCTCCTTCTGACTACAGCAGCTTAGGGCTCGTGTGTGTGTGTGTGTGTGTGTGTGTGTGTGTGTGTGTGTGTGTCTTAAAGGTATAGGCAAATTTTTAGTCTTAACACCTGTAAGCCAGCACTGGTGCTGTTCTGTCCTAGAAATTTTAGCACTGCTCTGATACAATAAAACCTTCTTTCTCTCCAACTGGTTCAACCTCAGCATAGGCAGGATGGCCAGAACCTCTTCGAAACTTCATCGCAGGCCATCTGCTTGGGCGTCTCTGAAACAGGAAATGTAAAATAGTGAACACCAGGGCGATGGTCATATCATAAGAAAAATATATTTGCCAAATATTTTAGATGAACTTCTGATTTAAATTTAGTAACATATTAAATGATCTCATTACTGCCACGGTTGGCATTATACATGCTCAAAGCCCTCTCCATTATGGCAGTACCAGAGCCTCCCAGGTGACAGTCCCTTGGCCATACCTCCCCCCATAGGACTGAGAGCTTCTCAAAGGCATGGTTTATGCCTTATGCATATTTATGTCTAAAAGACTCCGTAAGTGTCCAAATATAACTAAGCAAAAGTGAACGGTCATAAAAAACAAGTCTTCTTAATGTATAGCCACTGACACTTTCTCTTCTCTAGAAGTTAATAATGATATCATTTCATTTCACTTATTAATTCACTCAAAAACTTAAGGCCATAAAATTCTACACAGTTCTTAGAAGTGTGCTTCAAATTTGGTGCTGGACTTCCTAGCAAAAAAAAAACCTCCCCCCAAAACAAAACAAAACAAAAACTAAAAGATCGATCACATTAATATTAAGCTAAGACTTCCCGTAGATGTGACTTTTGTGTTTGAAAATTAACAGATGTCGTGCCCTGAAAACTGAGTCCAACATCAGGGGGCGCAGACAACCTCAAACCTATGTAAATAATTTCACATGTAGACACTGGTCCTAAAACACAGGTTATTTGTATTGACACTTCTCCCCAGCACTGGGTCCATCAAATAAACCTTCTGTGATTTACAAATAGAAGTGCTAAAATGAATTATTAAGTTCCAGGAGCAGAAGACACTAAAAGGCATTTCGCGGCCACAGTGACACCAGAAACTATTACTCCATTTATCAGAGTGCTTGCAATTTTGGAGTAAATGAAACGATAAATATTAAAGGAAGTTTATTTCTATCTAAAGCACTTCAATGTGAAAAATGTTAAATATCAGTGTAGATATACAGGCATTTAGCAGCTTTCTAGATTTGCCAATTACATCCCACTGTCATGATTAATGGCTGTAACATCAGGCAGGAATGACTATTAGCTCTACCTTCTGGAAAGATACCAATCACAGTCATTGCATCCTGCCTACTAATAATATTATGTACTGTCTATACAACATTATGTGGTCAGAATGCTTTATATTTATTAGCTGATTAAGTCCCATGATGCAAGTGAAACTGAATTATCTTTACTTTCCAAGAGAAGAAGGTAAACCTGAGAGGGCTAAAGGGCAAAATAGCGCGTCTTTGTTGGAACTAAAAATCATCGTCAATGGAAATATAATAATCGTTCCTAGGGAGATGGACCCTGTAATTTATGGTCACTCCTGTTTGCGGGAAAATGCCAATAGGCTCACTCTTTAAAACCCCCACTCTGGTTTCAGTTACTTCACAACTGGGCTTCTTAGGGCACAGCTGCCCTGTCTTTCTCTGAGTGAAGCAGCACCACTAAGTCTGTTCTGAAGTCCCACCTTCCAAGGCCCACCTGGCCTGTGGGTCCAGCGGGCAAGTACAGCCCTGTGAAGCAGCACAAATTTACAACTCAGCACATAAAGGCACTGTGCTACAGGTGACCATTAAAAAGGAGTGTGGATTATCATCAAGAAGACAACAGACAGCAGGTGCTAGCGAGGATGTGATGGAACAGGAGGGAGTCCTTAGACACTGTAGGTGGGAGTGTAGATTAGTCCAACCACTAGGGAAAACAATAGGGAAGTCCCTCAAAAGGTTAAAAATAGATGATCCAGCAATTCCACTTCTGGTATATACCCAAAGGAAATGAAAACAGGAGTTTGAAGAGATAAATGCACTCCCATGTTTACTGCAGCATTATTCACAATAGCCAAGATATGGAAACAACCTGAATGTCCATCAGTGGATGAAAGGATAAAGAAGAGGTGGTATATAGAGTGGGATATACACAGTGGGATATTATTCTGCCATGAGAAAGGAGGACATCCTGTCATCCGTGACAACATGGATGGACCTTGAGCACATTATACTAAGCGAGACAAGTCAGAGAAAGACAAGTACTGTATGATATCACTTATGTGTGGAATCTAAAAAAGTCAAACCTAAAAGAGTAACAAAAAGTAAAACAGTGGTTACTAGGCAACGGGGGGTGGGGAGATAAGATTGATGGAATTTAAGGGTACACGCTTGTAATGGGTATTAAATAATATTGTACTATATGTAATGCAATAAATGTCATTACAACAGCAACCATATTACAATATACAAATGTATCAAAGTAACATGCTGTATGCCTTAAATTTACACAACTTCAAATTTATCCAATAAAAAAAATAAAAAGGAGCACCATTAATGAGAATGTTGATGGTGATGCTTGTGAAAGTTATATTTTATTAAGCTCTTAACCGTATTTCATGCAGTTAGTAGGTAATTTACATACACTATCTCATTTAATGTGTACAACTCAATCATTTACCTTTCGCACAAACCTAAAAAGCTAGCAAATGGCAGGTCCAAGATTTAAAATGAGATCTGTCTACGTCCAAAGTTAATTCTCCCCGCTGTAGAAATTAGTTCTTAAAATTCAGTAGTTTGTGTATAACCTATCTGAAATTTGTGAACATGGCTCTATTTTTATTTCAATCTTAAACTATAACATTACCAACAACTTCAGGGTTCTGTTAATAAGTCAGAATGACTAAGTTAATAATTCTCTTAGGTGAAAAGATTGAAGGATTATTGATAATGTTTATCATGTTCTTTGTGAACTCATCATAGAGGTTCTCAAAATTGAAAGTACAGAAGTAGTGGACAATGGAGCTTCCTCTGTTAACCCAGCACAGACTTATTTTCTGAATTAACTGCATATCCTTAAAGAAAATTTCTTTTGATTTACCACTACTCATTGTAGAAAAAAAAATATCCCAACAAGATTTAAAATCACTAGAGATCCTACCACCCACACATAATTTGGTTCAACTATCAGTGTACATCACTTGTATGCATTTCTAGAAACATTAAATCATTGCAAATACTGTTTTATGGACTCCTTTATTTCCAATTAAGAGCACGAAAAAATTTATGAATTATCCCTCTACAAAATTATTTTAAGTGTCTGTAGAGCAAACTACTTATAACTCAATATGATTTATACAGTCAATTTGATTTTGAGATTTTTTTTCCAGATTTTTTGATAAAATAAATAATGTTACAGTGAATACTTCTGCTGCTAACCTGATGGGAATAAAATTATTGGGCCAAAGAGAATGCACAAATTATTTACTAAAAACGCCTGAAATGTCTAACATGGTGCTAGATGCCATGTTGAAGGAAATATGACCAAAGAAAGGTATGAAACATGGTTTCCACATGGGAGATAAAAAGCATTTCAGGGGAAAGGGATACATTGAGGTAAGACTTAATAAAGGGCTCAAATAAGCATTCTACAAATGAACAAGATAGAATAGGTATAATCCAACTACAAAATTATTCAAGACTCCTATTTGTGCAAAACTGAAAATTTTATATTTACTCCTAGAGTTTTTGACCAGATGAAAATAGAGGGTATTTCCCATAATAATATGGTAAAATTTACAATGAAATCTAATAGATGTCATGCAGCTGGGGTTTTAAACATTTGGTCCGATTTTACATTCTTTTACAATTCCTTGATATCTCAATTCTAGCCCTAAAAATACCAAACAGAGTAATAAATTTACCAAAATTCTGCTTCCTTTCTAGAATGCTTTGACATATCACAGATAAATTATATGATCTAAAATAAATCACTTGATTTCTCTGGGCCTTTGTTTCCTTATCTGTAAAATGATATCTGAGGATTTGTCCTCTAAAACTGTAGGATCCTTATGCTTGCTTCCCTGAGATAACGGACTTGAACACCGGAGAGAAAAATTATTTAAAAGCTCCTCTGGGTCGTGGTTCTCCTGACCATTGTCCCTCCTGCCTTCCTGCACTAACTTTTAGGATCCCTAAATTTAAAGGAAATCTATGTAAATTAGTCCTGACGTCGTTTTCCTAGGTCAATCTGTAATTGTTCAGAGATTTCCTTATATAAATGAAAAAAGGGGGCAGCTCTGTGGCTTCCACAGAATGACTGAATGTTTAGTTCTCATAGAACAATCTTTAAGGTTGGTGCTATAATATGAGACATCTATCCGATGGACAAAGAACGGGCATCATGTCTGGCTCTGCCATGAAGTATGATGGACAGGTCACAACCCAGCACTTAATACTTTTTTCTTGAGGCTGAGACATGTCCAAATCTGTGTTCTTTTTAGAATGGCTAATTCAAATTGTTACAGAAACTGATGGAGGGGGGGCACAGGGTCACATGCTAACAGAGCAGGATCTATGGTGAAAATGGAAAAATTCGAACCAGACTGTAATGTTAATTCATTACAGAGATTCAGGGTGTCATGCCTTAAAACAGGACTGGGTGTAATGCGTGGGTGATCTCTAATTTCATTTCTGAGAATTATTTATGCGATTAATCAAATTCAGAAGTAAATGTTCACACTGATATGTTGGCACTGGGGTGGGCCGTGAAAGCAGGCATTCTCCCTAATTACTCCTTCAGAACTATTAATTGAACAGTCATCCAGATCTGTCTCAATGGTCTGTGGCAAGATAATTAGCTGAAATATCCACAAACAACCCTGCAGGGTACCCTCCGTTAGTAGTGTAAACAACACTGCAGCTGGAGACCTGTCTTCAGGCTCGGAGAGCAAAGTGGATAGTGCTTTTTATGGGTTAGATGAACCCTTGAAAGGCAGTTACTAGGCGTGAGTGTGAAAGACAAGGGGTTAATTTTGAAATTCAAGGCCCAGCTAGAAGACACCTGTGGTGTCTGATGGCGTTTGACAAGCACTTGTTCTGAAATTTCTAGTATTTCTTCAGTAAACAGTAGGAAGTGGAAAGAGGCTGGGATCCTGAGGCATGGACAGCATCTCGGTCCTGTCACTTCCCAGCACAAGACTCAGGCACAGTCCCATGTTTT